TTCACAGAGAATGATTCGTTCACAGCGAAAGATTAGTTCGCGGCGTAAGATTAGTTTACATAGAATGACTAGTTCACAACAAAATATTAGTTCACGGCGAAAGATTAGTTTGCGGCGTAAGATTAGTTTACAGAGAATGACTAGTTCACTGCAAAATATTAGTTCACGGCGAGAGTTTAGTTCACTGAGAATGATTCGTTCATAGCGAAAGATTAGTTCAGGGCGAAAGATTCGTTCACAGAGAATGATTAGTTCACAACGAAAGATTAGTTTACGGTGAGTGATTCGTTCATGGTGAAAGATTAGTTCACAGCAAAAGATTAATTCACAGAGAATGATTCGTTCATAGCGAAAGATTAGTTCGCGCCGTAAGATTAGTTTACATAGAATGACTAGTTCACATCAAAATATTAGTTCACGGCGAGAGTTTAGTTCACTGAGAATGATTCGTTCATAGCGAAAGATTAGTTTACGGTGAGTGATTCGTTCATAGTGAAAAATTAGTTCACAACGCAAAATTAGTTTGCAGAGAGGGATTAGTTTGCAGAGAGTGATTTGTGAGTGATTCATCAGTTCGGTATGAACAAATCTTTCATATGACTCGGTAGCCACGAGTCATATGAAAGATTTGTTCATACCGAACTGATGAATCACTCACAAATCACTCTCTGCAAACTAATCACTCTCTGCAAACTAATTTTGCGTTGTGAACTAATTTTTCACTATGAACGAATCACTCACTGTAAACTAATCTTTAGTTGTGAACGAATCATTCGCTGTGAACTAATCTTTCGCCCTGAACTAATCTTTCGCCCTGAACTAATCTTTCGCTATGAACGAATAATTCTCTGTGAACTAATCTTTCACTATGAACGAATCACGCCCTGTGAAAGAATCATTCTCTGTGAATTAATCTTTTGCTGTGAACTAATCTTTCACTATGAACGAATCACGCCCTGTGAAAGAATCATTCTCTGTGAACGAATCATTCGCTGTGAACTAATCTTTCACCATGAACGAATCACTCACTGTAAACTAATCTTACGCCGCGAACTAATCTTACGCTGTGAACGAATCATTTTCTGTGAACTAATCTTTCACTATGAACGAATCACTCCCTGTGAACTAATCTTTCACTATGAACGAATCAGGGCGTGATTCGTTTTCACAGGGCGTGATTCGTTCATAGTGAAAAATTAGTTCACAACGCAAAATTAGTTTGCAGAGAGTGATTAGTTTGCAGAGAGTGATTTGTGAGTGATTCATCAGTTCGGTATGAACAAATCTTTCATATGACTCGGTAGCCACGAGTCATATGAAAGATTCGTTCATATTGAACGAATCACTCGCGGACGACACATCAGTAATTGGAAGTTATTTTTAGGAATGTAGTTCTTGAATTTGCGTACTGGTAACTGTTGTACGAGACTTTCTTGAATACTTCTCCAGTGGTTTTATTTTGCTCTTGTACTTTTTTGTTTTGGCGTTTTGTTATGAAAGGAATCAACCATCTACCGGCTGTTTAAGGCTGTTTTTAGGTGATTTCTTCAATTTTGGTCCTGTGACTACGGGGAGAAGAAATCCTCCAATTGGTGTCATGCTCACGAACGAAGGGCCAAATCGTTCAACTGGGCCGTGAACCGGAACGATTACACTAATAATCTTTGAACTGGTCCTGTGACCCAGATCGAAATATAGCAAGAATCTTTCACAACACTAACAGTAGATTTGATAGACATAAATACATTGACCTGATACTTCAGCTATAGCTACCAGTAGCTCGCTAAAGGGCCAGTGAATCATACATAAATCTGAAAACTTAATTGGTCCCTCGGTAAATCTACTTAAATTTATGTCCAATCAAAATGCAGTTGTCCCGCCTTCTTCCTACAAAAAATGATTATTAGCCAATTAGCTGTCAATCAAAATTGCTGCGGTCAAACTTGACGAGTCAGTGATAAGATGAGCGAGAGTTTCCGATGGCGACCAGTGTCTACAGCAACAAGCGGGTTAAAACGTACCATTTTCACCAAGGGGGGTAGACAGAATCTTGTTTTACACATGTTAACGACGAAGTGTGTGTGTGTCTGATCTGCGGTGCCAGCGTGTCGGTCGGTAAAAGGTGCTTCGTTTAAAGTGGCGCACATTTTAACGATGCGCAAAAAGCCGTTCACCGATGGCGGGTTCATAAAGGAGGTGGCGGAAACGTTATTCAGGGACCATAAGTAAAACGGAAAGCTTGTCTGCCTTTGTACAGCTTGGTGCCAATTATTTTTTGAAGCGTCATACAGTTACTTGGACATTATCAGTATTTGTAGTAATAACAATAATACCATTAATAATTTTGTGACATTTTAATACAGAATGTGAGATGTGGACAGTAACATATGTAAATATGTTGGAAATGTTCAGTAAAAGAAAGCTTATTGAGTTTGTTTGTTCAAAATGAGCGATGAGAATAAATGTTACAAAACACGAGTAGCTCGCGGCCATTTTTTTTTGTAGAAGTAGCTCTCTGAGGAACAATTGTTGGCGACGCCTGCTTTAGCTGTTGCAGAAGCTCTGATCGCTTCCTGAACCATGTGATTACTTTTTTAAACCTATTTTTAGTCAATCAGGAAGTATGTAAACCTCGTGAGTATAGTTTCACATAGTACAAGAACGTCACAGATATGATGCCAGTGGGTGAGAGGACCCCACCTGTGACACACTACAGTTACAATCACAGCTCACCTGTACGCCAGAGTCATGCACTCGAACAGTTTTGTGAGTGAAGCGTCGATGGAGAACTGGGACGTGCTCGCTTTACCGAAGTGATAAGTTTTACAGGTCTGTTTGTTGACTGTGTCGAAGTCGTAGCCTTTCTTAGGCGGGTGTTCACAGTGAGGCGAGGACACCATGAAGTGTCCACTGTGGATGATCTGAGACTCCCGCGCCTCTGCCTTCCTCAGCTCCACGTTAGACTCCTCCGTGTCCGAGTCATCGTCCGGCTTAGTAATCGTCACAGAGCGACGGTATGTCTGCCGTAATGACATCTCTCTGCTGCAGTATTAGTGGTTACCCACTTTCCAAACAAATAGCTAACTTTAGATAGCCACCTAAGACAATAAAACCCTGACGATCATGGACTCTGAAAGCGACGTTGTCGATTGCCGCATAAGGTCTGTCAGCTTCTTGACGAAGAGTCCAACTCCAGCGGGGTCCATTATGAAGTTGGCTGCTGGTAAGTCGTTCCCTAAGAAAACATGTTGTATAACCTGGAGTTGACGAAGTTCACAGTGCCTGCAGACGCCAGCTGACTGTTCCCTGCTCAGAGACCAAGCAGGAAGTTCTTGTGTGTACGCGCAGCTGATTGGTCAGAATCACAGCCACACCCTCTAAGGTACTAGACGAGTTTAAGAACAAATAAGTGAGGCCATGGGCCGTCTTTTACCCTAAATTTTATTGTTGTTAATATTGCTGTTGTTATTGTTATTTCAAGAAATTGTTAATTAGAGATTACACATTTTGTAAATATTGAAAAAAACATTTTTTTAAAAATTTTGTCTGTGAAAAATGTGTAAAAGTAATATCTCTGTTACATAGTCTACTAAAAACCTCGTATATACTGTAGAATCATGATTATTTTTGACTTATTATTACAGGAGTACTTTGCATGCACTGTAAAAAATAAAGTTGGCTTTAATTCCCTACTCATATTGTATTTATAATACATATTTTACTGTGAAACAAATACAAATTAAAAAGTAAGTAAATAAAAAATAACTTTTTATAAACTGTTTATTTCCTTGGTCACTGTAGACTTGAGGACCTGTCACTGGTCTCCTCTGGGCATGGGAAGCCCAGGATGTATTCTGCAAAGTTCTCTACTAATATTTCACGTGGGATCACACCGTCCAAAGAATTTTCAGAATCTCCAGCTATGGACACAAGGACACATATAATTAGGGGCTCAGTTATGTTGTTTCTTAGGCTCTTGCTTAAATAAAAACGATTTAGATACTGTATATATACTAACAGTAAGCTTCTTCTTCTTCTTCATTCTCATCACTAGGACCTTTTAGAAGTGTTGTGAAACACTCCACCACCTCGTCCTCTGTCATGGGTTCTCCTGTCAAAACATCCCTTCACAATGATATGACTGTGCATGACTTTACAGATTAAATCACAAAGACAAATACGGCCCTGGTGTACCTCGAGTCTGAAGGACTTCTATCAGCCGATTTCTATGCACAATAGTCTGTCCTGAGCTGTCATGTCTACCAAGCATGTGGAAATCTTGAACCAGCTCATCTCTAGAGACTCCAAAGGCTGGCCGATGATTGATATACAGTTTGATGAACCCTTCCAGATCAACATCAGTCACATATTGTCCTGTTTCAGCATACTGGCTGAACTTAACCTCATTTAGCATGTCATCTATCTGGAAGACAATGAATAAATCATCAGGAAAGATAAAATTACACAGTTTTTGTCAGATTACATCACCGTGACTGATGTCACTGTTACCTCTCGTTCAGTAGGAAAGTAAGCAAGGGCTCTCATTAGGGAAGAAACCTCTGACAGAGGAATTTTGTTTGAGACTCTTCGTTTCTCGATTGTGTGAATGTCTTGATGTCGGATTTGACAGAAATAGAAAAACTCCTCAATATCCTAAGAAAGGAAAGTGCAGTAGGATAAGAATCTGGGTTTAGAAAGGTTTTACGAACTGACACATCCTCCTAGCCGTACGTAAGGACATGTGTAATAATATTATGAGTCTAAAACAAAGCAGACATAAGTCTATATTCATTGTCAGGTTTTGCCAAGTACAATTGTTAAAATAATAATAGTTGACATTTTTCTGTTTACCATTAAGTACAAGTTTGACATGTTTGCTCAGTTTAAGTGCAAGCACACTGCCAGGATAAAAAGTAAACCACTTCAACAAACACTGCAGTACCTTGTACAATCTGCCATCTCTACCTCCTTCTAAGAGAGTGTAAAAAGGTACAAGGTCATTTCCTCCCATGAAGGCTGCAGTCTCCAGAATGCTGCTCATAAGAAGACACAAGACATGTCGGTAAAATACAACAAGATGGTTGCATTCCATCAGTTATTTTTCCAGATTGATACACAAGATCTACTTGAGGCTTATCGCCCACGCCAAGACAGAGCAGTCAGATCCCCCGGCTGTAAAAATATATCGGCCATCGTAGGAGCAGGCGAAAGCAGCCACTCCTGTTGGATGGCAGACCAAACTACTGGTCCTGTAGGGGTTCCCATCCAGAGGCAACATCTGGAGACCCAACTATAAAAAAACCAAACACACTCTTAGCCTTTCTAATATGTGTTATTGTAATGAATAAAAAAACATTTGTGAGCTGGTAAGCTTCAGTTGAAACCCAAAGAATATGTTGTTTTTTTAGGGAGAGCTCTCAGGATTGAATATTTTAAAATTTAAATCTCAAAATCAAATCCTTTTCTTGTCACGGAAAATCATTTGAGATTTTCTTAGGCAAGAATTTACATATACATTTCTTAATTAGTGTATTAAATATAAACTAGGGCATGGTATTTATCCTGTTGCTATGTTTGAGATACACAGCTCTTGCATTCCAGAAGGTTCTGTGTTTACAGTAGGTCCTGTACAGATAGGAGGGAGAGCTACATGATCTGTTTTACAATTGCAGAATTAAAAATCTGTTGAACACTACCTTTTATTTTTTGTGACAACCTTTTTAAAAGGGAATACATTTTTTGATATGACATATTCTTGTAAAACAGCTTGCAAAATAACACATCTTAACAAATTAGGAATATTGCAGTACTGACCGTGTCCTCTGTGATGTATGCCAGAAAGTGGGACTTGGTCACAGTTTCCAAATAGTTGGGAAGGGTCACCACTTGCTTGATGGGGGAGCCATATGTTGGGCCAAGTAGGGTCTTCCTATTGTCAAACATATTTTTATACCATTTCTAATTAGCTTGCAGTGACGTCAATGAAACAAGAAGAACAAGTAATGTTGTCACATTGTCTACAGACCTACACATCTTGGTCGTACTGTTGAACAGTTTTATTTTGTACTGCTCTGTGGCAATAAGAAGAAACTGTTCCGTTGACAGGGGAGGATACCATGTCATGCATGTAGGCACGGCCCTTTGCTCAAGTCGCTCTGAGCTCAGAATGACGAGCTGATTCACTTCACTTTTTTCCAGGTCATACTCCACCTGTTGTTTACACCCACATAAGTACAGGGGGGATTAAAAACACATCAAACTATACTAAAGATGTAAAGTTTAGTCAAAGCAGACTAACCAGACAGTGGTCCATCCCCAAAGATAACAGCCTGGTTTTGGTGCTGTCTAGGTGAACTCCAAAGAGAAGGTCCACAATGGGTTTGTAGTGAGAGCGATATCTGCCCAAATATGTCCAATGCGGCATAGAGCCTTCATCAGTATGCAGTTGGTAGACTGTCACTGCCTTTCCAACATCCTTAAAGTAAAAAAAACCCTAACATTAAACCAACTAAAGCTGCTTAATAAGATGTGTATACACTATTTAGTTCTATATATATATATATATATATATAGAGAGAGAGAGAAATATATATATATATATATATATATATATATATACAGTATTATTTGGTTGTATGCAAGGTCTGTTTTTACCTTTGTCTTGATATTTGTTCTTGTTTTCTACCTATGGGACAACAAAACTCTATTCTATTCCATTCAGAACGATTCTATTTAATACAGAAGTATATTTATAATATTAAGCAGTATTTGTCTGTTACAATAGCTATTTTACATTGGGGTCTTAAATAAAAGCCAAAAGAGTCTTAGTGACTCTTCTTAAAGTTTATTATGTATATTTGTGACTACAACATTTCATCTCATTACATCTCACTGTGCAGTGTGCAACATCTTCATATTGGTTTACATAAGGAACTGTTTCGTATTACAGTTTGTAATACTACCTATTGACGTAGCACGTTTTAACACCACCAAATGGTAACTTCTGTGATCTAAGTGTTGTATAAGTTATTAAGTTATTATCATAGAGATGATTATTTGTGGTCTCACCGCTATTGCAAGATACTTTGAGTCTGGTGAGAAACTAATGCGATGGATGCTATCCTTTGTGTTGTGGAAACATTCCTCTGGATCATTTTGCAAAGTGCTGGAGTCCAGTATATAAACAGAGCCACTTCGAAAACCAACTGCCAGATATAAACCTGTCCAGGGAAAAGGATGATTCAGAGAAAAAAACAGTCTCAGGAAAAAAACTCAAATCATTATTGCAGTGTTGTGGCTCACCTTTAGGATCATAGGCCAGACACTGAATCTGTTTCTCATTCTGGAAGATTCTTCTGCTGATCACTTGATTGTCATTGTAAGCCCACACTTTTATAATGCCTACATGACTGCCTATGACCACAACTGGCTGTTTGGGGTGGCAAGCTACTGCATGTACAGGGTCATAGTCTTCAGACAGCAGGACCACAGCTCTGTTTTCTTGTGTATCCACATGAACTATTTTGGAACCAACTGTAGACACAACAAAATTTCTGCAGGAAAGAAAACAAACAAATACATTTTATATTTGTTACAAAGAAATGCACAAAAAGATTTGACTGTGTTCTTCTTTTGCCTAAAAATGAATGGCTTTGCGTCCATGGTGCAGTCCACCAAGTATCCCTCTGTGTACTCATTGGAGAAGGAAATGGAAACAATGGGATCCAGGTTGAATTTGCTATACCATGTGACAAGGAGGTATTGGCCGTCAAAGAACTTGATATTTCCACGAGTGTCACCAGTGACAATATAGCTGTTATATAAAATGGCCAAAAAACAAAAGGATTAGTGATTGGCTAATAATAAAACCAATAGGGATAAATCATAATTTTTTACTCTTGACTACCCATCAGTGAGGGCGATGACAGTTATCGGATCATCCTGAAGTGGAACAAGCTTGACTCTGTCCTGAGTGAGATGCTGGTTGGCAGCCAAGTCTTCCAACACATCCCATATAGCAAGATTCCCTGATTCAGTGGCTGCAAGGATCTGAGGTTGTCTCCAGTGAAACACAGGTTGACTTAGGAACTGTCCAGCTACCTTGGACTGCGAGAGGATTAAAAAAAATACTTTATTCTATTGGGGTGACATGTAAATGCTGCACACATTAATAAAATTACGTGGCCCAAAGATTTCCATGTTGCCATGAGCTAATCTCTTTCACTGTCAATGGTTTTGATATGAAATATGATGTCAGCACAGTATATGTAACAATCCTGTTTCTATTAGTAAGCATTTTTAAGATTCAATTTTTTCCTATTTTTGCACATAAAAGAAATAGACCAAAAATTAAATTACAAATACAAACAATGCAAATTAAAGCCAAAGTCTAAGCCAACCCCTTGAATTTCCATGAAAAAATATTCGTTCTGGTTCACATTCGGATCAACAATGTTTTAGGAAACATTTTTTCTGCCTCACAAATTGTGTTACAATACTGGCACTAACTTTTACACTTACTTTTACATCTGTTGGATATTCACTCATTGAATGTTTTTGTGTTTTCCAATGTTTTATACAGGGAGGTGATTTCTATAATACATTGAAAAATATCTTGAGAAATGGAATAGATTATCAATATTTACCTTTTTTAATTTCAGGGCAATACATTGTAGACTTCCACGCCCCTGGAACAACAACAGTTTAGTACAGAATGTGTACAACCATATACTTGTTTCACATTATTGGATGTCATCTTACTGTGCTGTAAAGCAACACACGATTTTTACTGTTGGTGATCAGCTGGCTGTTATCGTGTGGGTTAAAAGTGATGTACTTCTGGAAAAAAAAATCATGTATTTCTGAGCATCTTATCAGTGCTGTAACTGAAAAATGTAGTTTTAGAAATGAAAAAGCACTTACTTGAAAACCATGTTTATGATTAATTTCAGTAAACCACAAAGGTTTCTGGGCTTTACTTGTCCAATCCCAAATACGCACACACTGAAGATAGTTTAAAGTCAGATGTTAATTTTTTTGTAGGAAGAAATAGATGTAAAATATTAATATGTGTGGTTTGGAGGTTGACGGTTTCCTTAGTAACAGAACAAGTAGAATTCCTAAATAAAACAAAATAATTTTAACTTATCTGATACTTTATACTGCCCATGTTTTTTACAGAATGTTATTGACATAACAAGCCGAAAGCCTGAATCAATGTCATTATAATGTAACATTTACATTTTTATTTATTACTTTTTTGGTGACTTTGTTTAGATATCTACACAATAGTTAAACTCTGAATGACTTTTCTCTGTCCATTTCTGTCAGACTCACCTGCTCTTCTTCTCCTCCTAGGGTTGCCAAATACTTTGTGTCACTTGAAAATGCTATAGCGACAACACCTCCATCAGGGTGGCACTTAAACAATGTGTTCACTGGAATGCTGAGATCATTAGTAAATACACAGTTATAAAGAGGAGAATTTGATATGTAAAGGTCTATTGATGCATAGTCATGTACTACCCAGAATATGAATCCCAAATGATCGCTCTGCTTCTAGACCCTTTGTCTGCAGTTGCGACCCACCGTCTGTCTTCACTCATAGACATGCAGGAGATTGGACTGCAGTGACCCTTAGAACACAGTTTAACTCATTAATTCACTGGTATAAGCTTTTGTGTTAATAACCGGCTACATGTTTATATATCAGTATAAGACAATCATTATTCTGACTTTGGTGATGGTAAAGTTTCATCAGATGATGCTGTCGAATAATAGTACTTATTACCTGAAGTATGTGTTGGGATTTTGAGGTGTGATTATATATGATCCCGTTGTGAGCTGCAGCATAGAGGAACACCAGCTGATCGTGGTCAAGCAGAGTGAAAACAGGAAGAGCAGGATTCATTCCAAGCACCCGGTTCAGAGACTGTTCGTAGAACAGATTTAAATATAAATAGTAACACATGATAAAACTGAAATGTACAATTTTATAACGTAATGGGGGAAACGACCACTTACCAGTGCATGTGTTCTCGTGTTATTTGTGGTTTTTAGGGAAAGTGGGTCTGTGCTAGAAGTACGTAATGGGGGAAACGACCACTTACCAGTGCATGTGTTCTCGTGTTATTTGTGGTTTTTAGGGAAAGTGGGTCTGTGCTAGAAGTGTAGACCTGAGAGGTATGGTCCATACTGAGTGTTTCTGTCTCTGTTTCCTCTGCTTTGACTTCTGCACTCACCCTAAGCTCGTCACTGGTGATGAAAGGTTCAGCTGCTTCAGCATCCGTGTATGACATTGTCTCTGCTCACAAACTTACTGTATGATATAAAAATAAATATTCAATCAAGCAAGCTAATGTTAAATAGTCTACCAAGTGTCTGAAAAGCGTGTTGTTGCTGAGAGACCGCTAACAAAAGCTGACCTTTCAAATTAAAAGTACCAAATGCAATTCAAGTCTTACCATGTTTCATGAAAGTTTTATTTTGAATGTGTAAACGCAAAATGTCCATCTTCTTGCATATTTCATGGCAATCACTATCCATTAGATTGTTATGTATCTTGTTTTTGCACATGTTCTGATGTCCTTTTATCCTTAACCTTTTATCTACCACCTCCATTTGTACTCCTCGTTGTTTCGCATAGATTTTTCTTTCTTTACCTTGTGTTTTTTATAGAATCAGATGAATGCAAATGGGTTCTACTCAAGACGGTAAACTATAATATAGTTTTATTTGATAGATTTATGTTTTTGTAGTCTACATGTTCCTTATTTTGAAAACCGGAAATTCGTCACTCTGTTAATCAGCTCACTACACGTCATTTAGGTTTTCGTCTCCGACTGTACAGAAACAAGAAAACTTTCCCACAAAGTTTTTTTTTGTCTTCAGTCTTTCAATGTCGATTTTCGTAGTCCTCTTTCACTTAAAATAAAAGTAGGTTAATCCTTTGTTTTCACTCGAATTTAAATTATTGTGTTCTTTTGGATATTTTATTTTTTGCGTTCGACCCTGTCAGTGGATAAGAAACGTGTTTTAAAGAAGAGGAAGTGGCAACACACTGATTTCACTAACTGACTGGTAAGGACATATAAGGTACAATCATATAATGATGGCTGTAAACTGTTTTGCGTTGAGTAAAGTTGAACTGAACTAACTGACCTAGTTCAACTGGTATCAGTGTTAGCCACCAGCTAACATTAGCAGGTGGTTCTTATCTGTAATCCTCTCAGCTGACAGTCAGCTGCTCTGACAGGTAACAAATCGTAAATATATATTCTTTAATGTTCTTTTACCATTAACATTAAGGAAAAGTGCGATTAAAAATGTCAACCAACAGTGCAAATATTTGCGATATGCTATGTTCAAACATTGATCCGAAACTTTCGTTGCGCCAAATGCAGAAATAGGTAATTTGGAAACAAAACGATACGTTTTCTTAATGATCATGACTTGTTAAATTTGTTAAAAAAATGTAAACAACAACAACAAAAAGTAACTTGTACCCTTTATTAATATAAAAGTATACATTCACCCTAAATTAATCCAATCCCATTTATAAATTTAAATTTTGTACTTCCCTTTTCGGTGGTTGCGAGTGATAAAACTGGTCTGTTAAGAAAATAAATCAGGTACTGGGGAAATCTGGGGAAAACACATTTCTTTCAATGGACTTTACAGTTTTAAAATTAGATTTTGAATTAAAATGATACTTCCAAAACCCCATTTAACTGGAGTGGAAATGAGGTGTATTCTTGATGTATTCTTCAGCAGATTCAGGCTCAGTGTTGCCGTCTGCCTCAGAAGGGAGAGAAAGGGCGAAATGAAGGGTAAACAGCAGAGTAGGAAAAGAGAAGTAGAAGTAGAAAAGAGAGCTCAGGAAAAGACATATGACACTATAACACTAGCTGTTTCAGTGCAAACAGTACAGTTGTGTATAAAAACATTATCATCCTTATTAAATGCAAAAGCAATTCTGCTGAGTTACAATTTCTTAGTTCTGAATAACAATATGAATAATGACCTCAGTGTCAGGAGGAGCCAGAAACTGCAAAGTGAGTACAGGCCCCAGGAGAGGGAAGGAAAAAAATGAATGAAGAAAGAACAGACAACGTCATTGTTATGACAGTAATTAATGTGTATTCATTTCATGGCTAAGTGGAGGATTGAAAATGACAAGTGCACCATGGGGGTTCCCGCAGCATAACTAAGTGATAACACAGGTTAACCTGAGCCAGCCCTAGATAGAGGGATTATCAAGAAGGACAATTTAGAGTCTAAATTTAAATGTATATAGAGGGTGTTGGGGTGAAGTGATCTGATTAGATTGGTAGGGTCAAATATGTATGATGGCACCTGGTCATGAAAAGTTTCATATGTGAGGAGGAGGAGAAGACTATCCTAGAGAAGCCAGTACTGGAGTAACGTCTTACTAACGTCACCTATGACATACTTGGCCAACAAGACGAGCCTTGGTGAGCTTTTTTAGTAACAAACAAAAATATTTGCTGTGACTCAGCTTCATTCCTCCACCCTGCAGGACAAGTTTTTAACGTTGGTCCCTCACCACAGGAAGAGCTTGCACTCTTTTTATTGTCAGCCCAGCAGGTCATAGCCCCGAATTATCAAACATGGTCATGTGGTCTTTGCGGTTCTTACAGTGTATTGTGACCTTAGCTTTACGACCAAGATTTGCACAGTGCATACTTTGGCCTTGTGATGGAATGAGTTCTCCTAAACAATTACCACAAACTGGGAGTAATCCAGTACTTTCATCTATATAATCCATCTCTTAATTAACTGAACCCTAATTAACCAGTTTCAATTAACACTTTTAGCTACATAAAATAGTTTGTCATGACCTGGTAGATTTAGAGTTAGAAGTGTTGCAGTATGGAGTTGTTGTTTTTTTTAATTGAAATAAGCACAAGTAAAAAGGCAGTGACAAACCTATAAGCTAGGTAAGAATGCATTAATTAGTCTTGTTAATATTCTTATTCTTACAGGTGGGTAATATTGTAAAAAAACATACTGTATAATGTGGAAGGAGCAAAGAGGAATCCGAGTTACTCAGGAGGAGCTGCTCTGCAAGAATGCCTGTGGGTATTATGGAAACCCTGCATGGCAGGGCTTCTGCTCCAAGTGCTGGAGAGAGACAACTCGTCCGTCTGAAGCTCAAAGGCAAGACTCAAGGTAGAGTATCAGACTCAGATCTTAATCTGTTATGCTGGGGGGATTAATGTGTAGTAAAGGTTTTGGATGATCACAGTTATCATTCTTTTTAGGCCAAAAAATGAAGGAACGCCTGTTACCTTTTCCAAATTTGAGGAGAAGAAGAACATTGAAAAAGGTCATCGGATTAACACAATGAGGAGACTCTTTTGGGGAAACCCCTCACCTCCAAAACGCCACGGTACAAATTTACTTGAAAAAGATGAATAAAATGAAAAGGATTTTAAAAATGAGTGTACATTTTGTGTATTTTTATATTATTTTGCTTGATGGTTTTTTTTGTTTGCCTGGAATAACATCCTTCTTTTCTCCTTCCAGGATCTGAAAACCAATCAAAAGCCTTGAAAGCATTTCAGAGCCTTGAGCCTGGAGACTTTTCTGGTTTTCTGAAGGTGCTTCGGAGTCCCCCATCCCAGCGCATGCAGTCCCAGTGTACGGCCTTTCTCAACACAGTGCAGGCTTACCATGTAATAATCAGTTATTTTTGTCATTTGTTTCTCTTAAAATCAAACCAGCCACTAGGGTACACGAATCAGTGTTTTATAGTGCCGGTCCCAAGCCCGGATAAATGGTGAGGGTTGCGTCAGGAGGGGCATCCAGCGTAAAACTTTTAGCCAAATCAAATATGCGAACCACTAAAACGATTTCCATACCGGATCGGTCAAGGCCCGGGTTAACAATGACCGCCAACAGTGCCGTTGACCTACAGGGCACTGATGGAAATTGGACTACTGTTGGTCAAAGACAGAGAAGAAGAGGAGGGCATTTGGTTAGGAGAAAAAGAGGAAGGATAGAAGTGTTGGTCTGAAGTTTGGAACTCTGAATGTAGGTACAATGACAAGGAAAAGTAAAGAACAAGCTGATGTGATGGAGAGAAGAATAGTAGACATTTTGTGTGTGCAGGAGACCAGGTGGAAGGGCAGCAAGGCTAGAAACATTGGAGGAGGCTACAAACTGTTTTATCATGGTTCAGATGGGAAGAGAAATGGAGTAGGGGTGATCCTAAAGGAAGAACATGTAAGAAATGTGGTAGAGGTGAAA